GACATACAGTCGTCCTGCCTCTAGGCCTTTGCACAGGCTGCTGCTTCCACCCTACTCTCCACCAGGAAATCTGCTGTTATACTGAGTGGTCACCTCCCACACGAGCAGTTCCCAAGGCTTCCAGGCTAACTTCATGTCTCCCTCTTCTCTTCTGCCTCAGTCCTTTGAATAAAGCCTGTTAGGACACCTGACTGCTCCTACCATCCTTTGTTGACATCTTTCTCTTGCACTCAACAGCACACTCACAGGTGTTTACTGTATCAATGATCTTATATAAGAACTGTTCTCTTAGAAGAAGTAATCGCTTGTGTCAATCCACACAATTTTATAAACCTGCTTTTGGAAAAAAATCATCACTATAGTGAAAGGACTCTTTCCGATTGCTTCCGAAAAGGGCTTGTATGTCAACCAGAACAAAGTGAAACTGTACAAAATTTTAGTAAGGTCTTGTTATGGATTGGGAGCAATCCCTAGAAGTTGAGAGGCTTCTCAGCTTCCTGCAATTTTTTTTCCCATTAGTGAGAGACATATAGGTCACAGGTCGTTTCAGGTTAGTGTCAGAAGATGATACAGCCCTATAATTAGAATTATGTGAACAGTACCCGACTGGGTGAAACTTGTAAAGCATAACTCACCACTGAGGTTGGGGATGTGAAGAGAAATTAATGAATAAGAAATGCAGCAGCAAAGAAGTCTTAAATACTAGACAGCACTTGATACGTTATTTAAAAAAAAAAACTGTGCTTTAGGGTATTGTGTGTTACCAGCAGGCAGATGATAATATACATGCATCTGAAAAATGCCTTAAATACAGCAGTAAACACACCAAAATGGAGCATAATTCTAGAAGGTATGTTAAAACCAATGATCATATCAAATCACATTAAAACCTAGCAAGGAAAAGGGAATTATTTTTTTTCATTGCAAACTAAGTTTATGATACAGACTTATTTTCTTTGAAATTTGTTTAATTTTGCTTTCATTCAAATTTTAGGAATACCCAATTAAGGCCCACAGGCACATTTACTTCAAATCAGGGTAGGAGGGCTGTGTGCATGTGTGTGTGCATGCGTATTGTGAAGGCTGACCACATGTTAATAAAACTCCCAACCTCTATCACCAACACCTCTGATTTGTTACTCTTTCCCACAGACCCTCATTTCAAAAGGATTTCTGCTTTAAACCACATTTATGAAGAAATAATTCATCTTTCCACTGAAAAATGTATCAAAGATGAGTAACTGCCAATTAAAACTAATAATCAAAACGAGATAACCATAGCTATGAATTATAGTAAAGCAATAGGATACTATATTATGAGTCCTTGTTGACTTCTCAGGGGAAATATATGCTGTTAGAATATTTGAAAAGTTCACAAGAAGAATAGTTTGAAGATTCTTTTTTTTTTTTTCAGTTTGAAGATTCTTATTATTGTTTTCAACCCCCCTAGAGGCCCAGTGAATTGTCCAGAGCAGGCATTAAACAGGACAGCCAAGAACCTTCTAGAGCTCACTCAGGCATGTAGTCACCTTCTCCTTTTGCCTCCTCATGTCCTGACCGGGCCTTGTTTGCCACCCAAACTCTTATTCCCCCTCTGTGATCTCAAAAATCGTTGTCCTCATTCCCCTTAGCAAAATAGGAAATCCTGCTTGATCTTCACATACCCCATGAGGAGAAATTCTCGGAAAAGGTTCTTCATGTTTGCTACAGCTGCTCTTAATTATATCTCAGAGGTCTTGTAACACGGTAATTTCATAGTTATTGTATTTTTAAAGTGCATTCTCCTTGATAAAAACCACCGAAGTAAGAATTTAAAAAATAATAAAGTTACACGCTTTTCCTAAAAAATAATAAAGCATAGGCAGATAGGACAAGATCAGAATCTGCCCTGCACTAATGCAACATAAAAGAACAGTTTAAAAAGGACAAGGTACATTATCTCATTCTGGGGGGAGTGAAGGCAATGAATTAAGACCACAACAAAACGAAACTGAAAAATTGCTAAATGAAGCTCTGAGTGGGGAAAATGAAAAATCAATGAAGGAACGGAGGGAAAAAGGTACATTTGTCATCTTCATGATGCTTGATTGGGTTTGTAGAAATTCATTTCCAATTAATGTGTCTTGTGGCATTCAGCCAGGCTAGATATGAACAGGGCACCTATTTTAATCAATTTTTTCTATTAAGTTTGAAGTAATATATAATAATAGAACGATACCATCCAAAAGGATCAGTTGAAACTGGCTTCTGAGGTAGAATAATCCAATTTGGTTTGATTTCTATCTTATATTAAAGATAACCCAACTTCTCTTTAAGGAGAGGAATAGCACCCCACTTCTTCCAGGTGCCTAAACATGACAGGGCCGTGTAAACATCCTGGAAGGGTGAATAAACTGGCTTTCCAACCAGAGGGTGGAATAATGTGCCACTGGGAAGGAAGACAGAGGGGTGCCCTGGGTCCCAGGCCGGTTGCTGGGTTTGCTCACTAACCTCCGGAACAACCCTAGCAGTGGTTCTCCCCGCCAGAGGAGGAGACTGAGCCTCCTAGAGTTTCGTCACCTGGCATTCCCGCAGCGGTCACCTGGGATCACCTGTGCATCAGGCCCAGTGTTGGACGCTGGGAGCACAGGAGGCAGCCAGGAAGACCTGCTCTCCACCTTCACGGACCTCACATCCCGGGGAGGAGGACAGGCAGCAGAAAAAGGCCCAAGTCAGTTCAATAAAGGGACAGGCACATCCCCCGAGGCAGGATGCACCTGCTGATTGCCAAGGGCATGAGGGAGGGGTGACCGGCTCATCCCAACTTGCCCGGGGCTGCCCAGGCTTTAGCAGGGGAGTCCCCGGGCCAGGAGCTTCTCATCCACAGGCACACCAGGACAGCTGGTCACCCTAGCTGGAGGCTGGCGGAGCTGCGATCTCAACCTCCATCTCCCTGACATCGGGCCCCTGGCCCTTTCTCTCAGCACCCTGACATTCAGAGGCTTGCTTCTGCCCTCCCGGGGATGATGACCTATCACGGCAGCATGGCCCAGGAAGCAGGCAAGGCTGGAGGAACAGGTTGGCCGGTATCTTCCTTTTCTTTCTTTCTTTTTTTTTTTAAAGGATTTATTTACTTACTTGAACAAGAGACACAGAGAGACAGAGACAATATGAGAATGAGGAGGGTAGAGGGAGAAGCAGGCTCCCAGCTGAGCAGGGAGCCCCATGTGGGGCTTGATCTCAGAATCCTGGGATCATGACCTGAGCTGAAGGTAGACACTTAACCTACTGAGATGCCCAAGCACCCCGTATCTTCCTTTTCAAAGCCTTTGTAGGGGCCGGAAGTCTCCCAGCTGTTCTTTTTCCCTCTGACTGTAGAGGAGGAAGGTGGGAGGGAGAAGATGCTCTAAGGTCTCTATCCCCACGCTTTCCACCACAGCTGCACTACCACATACCAAAGACCCTACACGGAACAGGAATACCCAGGGAGGGAGCCATTTCAGGCTAATGTAAGATGGGGCACATGGCAATGTCCAGCTCCACATGTAGGACATGGCTGGCACTTCAACAATGGTGGTTTTTAAGATGTTCCTAAGGTTCAAGTGTTCTGGAGGGTGGACACTCACCTGCACCGGCCCAGGTTCCCCTGGGAGCCTCCAAGCTGCCCTTCCAGCTTCTCTCCCCTCCCATTTGCCCGGCTCCCTCCTGCCGGGGGGCATCACTCTGGGGTCAAGTCCAACCAGTCAGAACTCACCACTATGGAATGTGGAGCAGGGTAACACAGGACATTTTCTCAGTGTGATGCTGAGTGGGTGCAAACCCACAACTGCTCTCAACCTCATTTCCAGCCTCCTCTACAAGCCAGTCAAACTAGACTGATAGCTCCCTGAACCCACCCTAAACTTTCTGGTCTCCGTGTTTTTGTTTTCTCTTGGTTTGTTGTTGTTATTCTATATTTTGTCTGGCATGTCCTTTTCCACCCATTAAGTCCCTGCCTAGAAAAATCCAATCCATCCTGCAAGACCTGGTCAATCATCACTTCCTCTCTAAGGTGTGCACCCACACCAGCATTAGTGAACACTTATGGGTTCTGTGCTAAGCCCCAGTGCGCATTTCATCAGCCAAACCTTACAACAGCCTCTGAAGCAGGGACTATGATGATCGTCCTCATTTTGTTGACACAGAAACTGAATGCTGGAGAATTGCTCAAGATCTAAAGCCTTGTTAAGAGAGGAGCAGGATGCAAAGCCAGATGCAATTTACTCAAAGCCTATGAACCTAATCACTACCCTCTCTAGCTTCTCTGCCCAAGCACAAAGCTCATACCCCTGCTGAATACTTGTCATAGTTGACCAGAGTTCTAACAAGTTTTAGTGTCAACCAGAAGGTCTTTTGAGGGCAAGAACTCCTATCTATTTTTGCATTTGGTCCATAAAAGGCGCTTTTAAAATGTTTTTTGGCTGACCCATCAGGGCAGGAGAAGAGGAACATTTAAAGATAGTGGCACAAGGGAAAGAATGCTAGCTTGATAAAGGTGCCATGAAAAAAATTAGTGGGGCAAGGATGGAATATTCAGGAAATACTGTTAGGGAAACAGACTTTCCGTGAATTTTTTTAAAAAAAGAAAAATGCAACCCTGTTCACCCTGTATAGACAAAAATAAATTCCACATGGATTATTCTTTATTTGTTCAACAAATATTTATTGAGCGCCTATGATATGCCAGTGACTGTTCCAGATGTTAGGAGTAGAGCCAAGAGCAAAACAGGAAAAAAGTCACTGCCCTCACGGAGCTTACATTCTAGTGGAGGCAAACAGAAAATAAGTAAGTAAGCAAAACAGGTAAACGTAGTATATATTATAGGATGCTAAGATGCTAAGTGCTACAGAGAAAAAGAGTAAGAAAGAAGATAAAGGGTATGAGTGTGGTGGGGGTTATAATCCAAGACATAAAGATGAAAAAACTCTAAAACCATCGCAAAAAATATCCTATGGCAACAAACAAGACACACAACACAATACCAATGGATTGATAAGTTTATACCAAAATTTAAAATGTGTGCATTATACAAGAGACCATAAACAAACAAAAAACATTAGCTGGGAGAAGATAACAGCATCCACACACTTTTTGACAAATGATCAATATTGGTAGTATCCAGAGTTCCGACAAACCAGCAGGAGAAAAGATAACCAGGAAAGCGAAGATAAGATAGGAACAGCTGATTCAGGATAGGGCGGAAGCGGGCGGAAGCCTGAATGGCCAACAAGCTAATGAAAAGATGCTCAGCAGCACCCACAGTGATGAGCAGTAATCAAGCTGAAGCAAGTGAAAATTAAAACAAAAGAGATACTATCTCACAACTGGCTAAAATTATGGTGCAACAGTGCCAAGAAGTGATGAGGATGTGGGGAAATCCACCCTCCCAGTGGGTGGAACTGTACGCACGCTCCGGAGACCCACTGGGCAGTGTCTAGTGAAGGGGAGACTGCCAACCCAAGGCCCTGGCATGGCCCTACTTCCTCCAGCCATGCTCCATAACTACAGAAGCAAAGAGAGTGTTTGGCATGGTTTGTCAAGGAATAAAAATCTGGGAATAAGCTAAATACCTATCAACAGGACACATTACAGTACATTAATACAACAAAGTATTAGCGAGCCATTAAAATAAATAATGTAGACCTATATGTAACAACATCAAAAACAAAACTGGGGAAAAGAGTAGGTTGAATAATACATACAATAATATCTATTTATATATTATAAATAAGGATGTACATACATTTTGAAACACATAAATTGAACTAAATACTGATAATAAATACATAGGTATGTAGTAAAAGCATCAAAATACAGCCCAGATGGAGACCAAATTGCTTCTGAAGAGGGAGGGAGGAAGGAAAAAGATCAGAGAAATAAAAAGAACCTCTTCTTTGTAATGTTTTCTTTTACTTGGAAAAAATCTGAAATATGCCAAAATGTTAACATTTTGTCACTTCTAGAGGAGAGTAGCTGGGTCTTTGTTCTCACCATTCTCTATAATTTTCTATGTTTAAAATTTTTTCCAGTTACAAATGTATGCAAAAGTAAGAATGAACACTGACTTTGGAGCCAAAGATCTTGTGGCCCTAGCACCATCATCATGTGCTGAGAGACTGCCAGTGGCTTATTTTTTAAGACTGTGTTTCAGTTTCCTGTGCCAAAAAATTGTGCTAATAATACTCCCCATAGAGGATGAATGTGGGATGTTAGGTCTAGATGCATGGCCCTGAAGCATGAGAAACATTCAGTGGCTGGTAGTTACTTGGAACAGGAGTGTAGCAGCCTTACAAGCTCTCTGGGCAGAATATGGGCACCCAGGTCTCTGAGAAATATTTTACAGCCAATTACAAACAATCTCAAGAAAGAGAAAGTGCATTCAGTGACATTACAAAGAAAAGACCTCCCTTGAAAGGACGGTTTGTATCACGAATATATTGGTCAGCATGTGTCATAAAATAAACCTGCAATATTTACGTAATGTATAGGAGGGGGGTAAAAAGGTCCACAGTGAACCCTTTGATACCTTCTAAAAACTTCCCAGTTTAGATAAGGTATCTAAGATTTTAAAATTAGGAAGTGAATAATATGTTGAACATGAGAACTTGAAACTAACATTTTTATTTAGTCCAAATAAATCCTGCCTCAAACTTCTGAGTAACGCTAGATGTGAGTGGCCAAGGGATAAAAAAACAGCCCTGAGCATCCAAGGGTTCCTTCCCCATCCACCACCTTGCCGATGTAGGGTACAAGGATCTGAATGAAAGACCAAAGACAAATACTGACAGGAAACCATTTACCTGCCCACTTTGCCATGGAGAAGTGGGAGCTTACATCACCCATCACTTAAGTGACACCCAGCCCCTAAATGAAGTCCCTCCGTCAGCCCAGTCTACTGGCTGATTAAGGCGATCCCACCCACCGACTATTACTACCACTGCTGCTCCTGCTACCGCTACTCGTCGGTCTTCAGGGGCGCTGTTAAGTGCTGATGACCTACCAGCACCAGTGGCTTGTCTCAAGATCTCTATAAAAATAAAGCAGGCTTGAAGTATTTCACTTCACTATATTTGGATCAAATATATTTCTCTTTTCCTTGGATAGACTTCTCCTTTTCATGAAGTTAGTTAACTGCCTATGCAAGCAGAGTGCCCATGGGCATAAAAAGCAAACCAAACCCTGCTTACACAAAGAGAATGCTACATTGACCTGGGTTTTTGGTCTCCATTCAGGCCACCTCCCGTATGCAAATATAACCAAAGGACATGGACACGAGGCTGCTTCCGTATTACGTGGGGCGTGATTTGGTGGGGTGCGCTTCCTTCCTGGAGCACTGGAGTTCTTCGAGCCTGCCTCCCAACGTTAGCAGGTGTCCAAGGCAGCTTTTCCACAAGTGAGGCTTCCATTTCCCAAGATCTTAGAACCAGCCTCCACCTGGCACCTCCTGAATTATTTTTTAGTATTTTCATTGCAGTTCTTTGATGTCTAGGAACCCAAGTTTCTACAAATATTCTTTGAGTTCTCTGGACTCTGCAGTGTGAGGCTGGACAAGTCGAGGTGACAGTGTGTGGTATTTTCACAAACGAGAGCCCTATGTGGTCAAATCTGCCTTTCCACAACATGTCCTTCCTGTTCTGTTCGTCGGCTCATCACAGACACATGCCACCTCTTCCCAGCAGAGTTCAAGTATTCTTCTAATCACGAACAATAAAAGGAACTGCTTCCAACCCAGGCTACCATCTTATCATCTTCCAAAGAACCGGAGACTAAATCTGGAGAAGAGCTCGTGTGACATGATCTGGAAACAGTTCAATTGAGTGGATTAGGGGTGTGGGCTCAGTGCTATGGCTCCGTTCCCCAACCCCCATTTGGCTAAATTATGAGTGACAGAAGTTACTCTGCATCACCTAAACCCAGGGCATTTGGCAAAAATGTACTTTTGTGCAGTATGTTTCAGCACAACACACGAGGAGATAGTTTCAAAATGAACCGAGTGCTAACAAGCAGCTGATCCATTTAAAATGGAAGATTCTTGGGATGGAGAGAACGTAAACATTTTTTAATTGCTTTATGCGCAAATATTCTACTCTACTGTGGCTGGGATGGAACACAGCGCAGAGCAGAGCAGAGGGAAGCATACCCAAAGATTCCATTTGGCCCCCAAGACTCCCAAAGTGCAGAAGGGCAGCTCTGTGTATCCATCAAGAAATCAACTCAGCTACTTTTGCTTTTTATTCATTTAACCTGACTTTGGGGATATACAGGAATCCATCCACCAGTAATAATAATAGCAGCTTGTTTCTTGCGTATTTCCTATGTTCCAATTAATATAAGTATTTTATATCATCTCATTTATATTTTTATATCATCTCATTTAACTCTAACCCAAAAAATCCTCTTGGGTAGATACTGTTATTAACCCCATTTCACAAATAAGAAAACTAACTGTATGAAGGTTCCACAGCAAGTAAATGCAGGTCTGATTCTCAAGTCCTTGCTCATATCCATTGTCTATGCCACCTTCCATTGTGTAACCATCAAGGTCTCTAACTGCACTTCTCCCAAGTCTCTAACTGCAGGGGTGCCTGCAAATTCAGAGCCTAGGAGGTAAGGTCTCAGGACTTGAAGAGAAGAGAACCCCTGCTTTGCTGACTGGCTCAAGATGAGCCAGAAACCAGAAACTCAAATCTCAATTCTCAGAAGAGTTAGTTACTCTTCACCTATTCTCTCCAATCTAGGTTGTTTTCAAAAAAACAAAAACAAAACAAAACAACCCGTGGCATTACGAAAACTTCTCTCTCAAAAAAAAAAAAAAAAAGAAGAAGAAGAAGGGATGGTAACTAAATATGTTCAAACTCATTTCTGAGGAATTGCAGAAATGTTTTGCCTCATTTTGGACTTGAGAAGCAACCACTGTGAATACTGTTGTTTCAGCAAGGTGGTGTGCTCTCTAAGGGGTGCAGGGGGACCACAAATAAGGTCTTCTGTGCAGACAGAGGGAATATAAACCAAGGTGAGGCCAGACACCTGTACCCACAAGCACAGAGGGAAGGGGATCCAGGAGAACCACTTCGGTCCCTTTGTTAGGGGCAGGTTCTCAGCTTCCAAGGACAGCGGGCAGAAAGGATTCCATCACTTGTCTGTCTAGTAGCTATTTAACAAGTGTGCGTCATCTACCACTTGGGAACATCTCTCTAGATGCATCTGGGGAGCCTCCAGGAAGTTTATCTGCATCCCACCAGGCCAGTCTGGCATTAGGAGTAAGCTGTCGCAGCATCCTCTCTTGATGGGGCTGCTAGATCCCCAACAAGACCAGATGATCACGCACTTGGACCGGCTGTCCCATGTTCGTGCTCACGGCCTTGCTCGGTGGTCTCCGTGGCACTCTTCCCGTGGGCCACTTCCACTCCAAGTTCACTACCAGCTTTCCACCTCAGGCACCGCAGCTTGTGAAGGAGGCTGGCTGGATATACTAACACATGGAAACCCCGCGTGGAGACCCAAGCCACTGCTCTAGAAATTCAGAGCACAGCTTCTCCATCCTGGCTGCATACTGGAATCTCGTGCAGCTTTAAAAAAAACCCCAAACCCCTGCACTCCCCAGAGCCTTCCTCCCACCGCCATCTGCCAGGTTTGGCGTGTTTTAAGGCTCCCCAAGTGATTCTAATGTGCAGCCTGAGCAGAGCAGCACTAATGAGAAAATCAATTCCTTCCACCTTTGCACTCATTAAACATCTAAATCATAGAGCGGGACAAGCGGGAGTGGAAGGGCGTTACGCAAAAGAGAAGTGTAGAGCCAGAACACCTCCGCTACACCCCCGTGAGATACTTCCTGTTGGAAGAACCACTTCACCCATCCGGACCACAGGACCACAGAGGGAAGTGAGGAGGAGGAGGAGGAGGAGGAGGAGGAGGGGGAGGAGGAGGAGGAGGAGGAGGAGGAGGAGGAGATGAAATGAAAGCACTCCTAGGGTTGAAGAGGGAGGAGGTCAAGGAGCTCTCTCTGAAATTACTATGTAGTCAGCTGAATAATACCATTGCCTACTGGCAAAAATATAAGTCCACCCCTCCCCTCCCATTTCTGAGGGCAAATAAGAATTTGGGTTTTTTTCCCTCCAGGTAATTTCCTCCTCGGTAGGAAAGCTGCTTTGGTTGGCAGGGCCTGGCCATGGTGAGAGCAGGTAAGGAGGTGTGAACAAGCCTGCTGAGAAGAGAGGACATGTAAAGATGTGCCCAGACACCACTGCTCTAGCGTCAGGCTCTGCTCAGCCTTTTGCTCCTCTCCATCTCGGGTTCCTTGAAAGGCAAGCTAAAGATGCAGTTGGACCCCAGACAAAGGACCTCCAATCCCAATGAAACTTTTCAACAGAAGAAAGAAGCCCATGCGAAAGAATGACTCTGGAAAGGCAGGTCACACCGGATGGTAAGATCTGAGAGGGCAGGACCACACCTGCCCCAGGCACAGAGAAGTACTGCTGCTTATCTCCTGAACCCACAAATCAGTGAGTTTCCCCACAAGTGCTTTTTTTTTATTAGTCCCTCTATATTTTCTGGTAAACCCTCAGAATTGTCTAGAAGGATCATAGATGGGCTGATTTTTTTTTTTTTGTCAGAACCAGAACCAGTTAGAAGAATTAGTGATGGGAGTGAGGTAGCCAACCCTTGATGTCCACCACAAAAGGAGATGTAATTTTAGCGTGCCTGGGTGGCATAGTCAGTTAAGTGTCCGATTCTTGGTTTTAGCTCTACTCTGATCTCAAGGTCGTGAGATCGAGCCCCGCGTTGGGCTATGCACTCAGCACAGGCTCTGCTTGTAGATTCTCTCTCTCCCTTTACCCCTTCCCTGACCCCACATGCCACATGTGCACTCTCTCACTCTAAAAAAATAAATCTGGGACGCCTGGGTGGCTCGGAGGTTGGGCGTCTGCCTTCGGCCCAGGGCGTGATCCTGGGGTCCTGGGATCGAGTCCCACATCAGGCTCTTCTCAAGGAGCCTGCTTCTCCCTCTGCCTGTGTCTCTGCCTCTCTCTTAAAAAAAAAAATCTTAAAAAATAAAATCTTAAAAAAAAAATCTTTTTTTAAAAGGAGGATATAATTCAGTAGAAAGATCTAGCCTGCTGGGGGTATGTGGTTCCACATGTCACAAAAGACACTGTGTATTAAATTGGACCCCGTAAGACATATACCAATCCTTCATTCAAAAGGGTCATCCTGCCTTGATCTGTCATCAGCCCATCTTACATGCACAAGGCCTTACTGACATATACCATCCTACATAGGAAAATCAAGTCCTTATTGGGCCAAGGACTGCAAAACTGAGGCCAGATAGTTTTTATTCATTAAATTAATAATAATAATAATAATAATAATAATAATAATATAGAAATTATATCCTACTAAAAGTGCAAGGAAATACATGGCTAAACATTTAAGGATTCCAAGAAACCCAGTAACACCCTTTTTCAGTGTTGAGCTGAAAAAAAGAAGCCCATCGTTTCAGTAAGCTAAACTTCTTCATAGACATTATGGCCAAAATGACACCAGCGGTGGTTGGAGGCTGGATCCCCACCCTTGGGAAACGTGAAGCTAGCACACAGACAGGCTTTCAAACTTCAAGTGAGGAAAGCAAAACTGTCCCTAACGTCTGCTGCACATGAAGTTTGCCTCTTTTTCTAGGTCAAGTTTCTCTCAATGTCTGGACAGCTTGGGATGCCTGGGTGGCTCAGTGGTTGAGTGTTTGCCCTTGGCTCAGAGCGTGATCCCAGGCTTCTCCCTCTGCCTATGCTTCTCTCTCTCTCTCTCTCTCTGTGTCTCTCATGAATGGATAAAAATCTTAAAAAAAAAAAAAAAAAAGTCTGAACAACTCGAATTCACAGATAAAAATAAACTCCTCTTTTAAAGTCAGAGGAGGGGATCCCTGGATGGCGCAGCGGTTTGGCGCCTGCCTTTGGCCCAGGGCGCGATCCTGGAGACCCGGGATCGAATCCCATGTCGGGCTCCCGGTGCATGGAGCCTGCTTCTCCCTCTGCCTATGTCTCTGCCTCTCTCTCTCTCTCTCTGTGTGACTATCATAAAAAAAAAAAAATTTAAAGTCAGAGGAGGAAAGATCCCTGGGTGGCTCAGCAGTTTAGCGCCGCCTTCAGCCCAGCGCGTGATCCTGGAGACCCAGGATCAAGTCCCACGTCAGGCTCCCTGCATGGAGCCTGCTTCTCCCTCTGCGCTGCCCTCCCCGCTCCCCCCCCCCCCCCGTGTGTGTGTCTCTCATGAGTAAATAAATAAAATCTTAAAAAAATAAAGTCAGAGGTTATGAATTTGTTAATTGCACTTATTATGCAAAGTAATGCTAATGCTGAGATCGCACAGCCTAGTAAAAAGCAAAGCATTCTTTATATAAGGAGCTTCCAGCTCAACTCCTGGATCATGAGGGATGGACCTGTAAGGAAGGACTAAGTACCTCCCCAAGGCAGTCAGTGTTAGAAATGTTTTCTTCATGTGAAATGAAAAGCTGAAATTCACCTCTTTCCAAGTGCCACCCAGTGGCTCTGGCCTGGTTGTGCATATGCAACTCTAAGCAAGAATGCATTCTGAGATGTGAATTTAGCTCTCATGCCTCTCCTTGGCCACATCTTCCCCAAGTCCTTCGGCCATTCCCTGTATCACTAGAGCTCTCAACGTTCCAACCTGACTCTGCTCTTCTAAATGTGTTCATCTGTCAATGTCCCTTTTCCATGTTTCTAACTTCAAAAAAAAAAAAAAACTATTCATATCAATGGCTGCAGCAATTGAGATTTTAAACCGTCCTTTTGTGGTGTATGTTAACATGGCATACTGGGCAAACACATCAATTCTTACTACCTGATTGAGGTAGTGGCTTAAATTTTGAATAAAAATATAGAAGTCTCTTTTTTTTTTTTCCAGAATCCATGCACTGTTGAAACCCAGCTGGCCCCTAGGTGGTGCTCACTCCGACGACAGCACCCTAATTTTCAGCCTATGATTTCCTTCTGAGGACTGTGTCTTCTAGACCACACCATCAGGATTTAGAGAAGCTTATTTGGGAGATATTAAGTCACAGGTAGAAAAGCGAGACATGGACAGTGATCTTTATCTGCTTTCCTATTTTCATGTATCAATTTTCCCCTACTCCCTTCAAATTGGTATGTCCGTTATATTCCAGAAGTTAGAAGACAGAATCCTAAACCACTTGAAGGAAGTATCTCTTCCTTTGAGGAAGTATCTCTGATTTTGGTACCAATCTTAAACTCTTACAGAGAGTAACTGAAACAGAAGCCAACCGGTATAAGGCTTTCTTTGTTCACTTGTTCTCTAAGATAAAACCTAAGAGCAATGTACATCACCTCCCTGTGGTGGGCTGGGAGAAATGTAGTGCACGTGGGGAAACGGGTAGCCTTGCCCCAGACTTCCTGTGTGTGAAATTCAGAAGCAGAAAAGCTATGACCTAACAGCCAGAGTTCCCTGAGATACTAAGTGTGATGATGATGATGATAATGATGATGATGATGATATGTTTTCTCTTGGGAAACACACTCCTGACACCTAGCTAGTGTTGATAATGGGGCAGGATCTATCCATCCCTGCTGCTCCTGCCTGGGTGTGCAATGGGAGTGCAGAGGGGCCCCTCGTTCTTCTGTTCTTCTCCCTGAGACTCACAGATGAGCCAATGTAAGACTTACAGGATTCCACACAGTATGACTGGATTTCTAGTTTAGGTGACAGAGTTCACCTAATGTATGTGTTTATCCTACAAGAGAAAAAAGTATCCCTCCCCAACCTCACAATCCCCTGACCTTAACCTCACTCCATTAATATTGCCAACATCTTAGAGATTAATAAAATAGGTATCTTTTTAATCTTCTTTTTGTCATGTGTGTGATTTATTAGTAGACAGGCTTTTAATTTTAATAACTCATTAATAAAATAGATAACCTTTCTGAGTAGTGCTTAATATAAGGAAAATGTTTTGTTTTTTCAGTTTTTCCACTGCCAACCAAAGGTTCAATTAAAGTTCTTCCGCAGAAATATAAATGTTCAACTTACCTGTTTTTTTTTTCCATTTAGAAAAACAAACGCATAAGCTATGAGCATATAGTAAACATAGAACTTGGTCTAATATCCCACAGACAGACGGAGACCGAAAAGATGAGGGAAGAAGGGAGAGGAGGAGGGAGGAGACAGGAGCATGGGAAGAGACACCTGTCCACCGAGGAAGAAAAGATGGAGCGGTCCCTGGGGAGAAAAGCAGCCAAGTGCAAGGAAGTGCAGAGACCTGAGCTAAAGGAAACTTTTCTCGTCAGACCCTCGCGACCCCTGAGCTGTAGGCACCCCTTTGGAGGAACTGCTGCCTCTGAAAGCGAGTGAGTTCATGCACTGTGCTTCCCAGCCTTCTTCACTGGAACCCTGTGATCTGATTAGAGGGATAATCACCAGCCCACTGGGGCGATTAGGAGAAGATTTCGCTCTGGGCCATGAAGATCGTGGCGTGAGTACGTTCACTTGGGAGCCATGGAAAACTGACCTGAGAGTCAGATCTGGCTCTAGGGCTGAAACGTCCCCACAACAGGCAGCAATCCCAGCCCATGACCTTCCACGGGGGCTTACCTCCTCAACCATCTGCTTGACTTTCTTCTGCTGGCAATGCACCATGTCATCTAAGTGTCTGATCCGTTCACGGAGGCTGGCAGATGCCTCTTCCAGCTGCTGATACCTAACACAGAGAGAAGAGCAAGCTGTAGAGTCCTCAACCAAAGCAGCAGTACCAGCACAGAGTCACGGCTGAAGGGAACAGTGCCACAACTCCACCTTCTTCTCTGTGTCTCTGGGGGGGATTAACTATCGATGGACCACCCCACTGCAGGAGGAACACAGGACTTTTCTGCAAGCTCCCACTTGGAAGGCTTACCCTGTATAAGGACAATGACTCTACTTTCCAGGGACTGAAACCGAAGTTTTTTGGCACCACTTAAAGAATGAGGGGCTCTCTATTCTGGAGTTAATACAACATCATGCTATATATGCTTTACAGGCAAAAGGCCTTGGAGTGGAAAACGGAGGAGAGGAGCCTAGTACCACAACACAATACAATATCCGAAATCAAGTGGCCAAGTGCTGGGAAGTCTGGAACTGTAGCTGTCTACACATCATTTACTTGGGGAAACCGGGAAGCATGTTGAAAGAGAAGGTCCTCTCTGCATCAAAAGAGACTGGGCTGCTTCCCGAGGCATTTCATAATTTTGTCTTAAAATGGTACAAACTACCCTCTGACTCTGCTTGGTTCAGCGAAACCAAAGGAACCAGAAGACGGGCTCTTTGGAGCCACTGGAAGAGAGCACTGGGCGCAGGGTCTGGTGGTCAGCTAACCGCTCCTGCCAGGTACCCCCTCAGTGCTACGTTAAAGTCTACAGAAGACTGCAAAGTTTGAAGTTGTGGAGAGGAAGGAAAACAGACATTTTTCAACACATACCACAGGGCAGGCAGCAAGCCCCCCAACCCCCTCACAATGAATGACCCAGTGAGATGGGCACTGCCCTCGTCGCCGTGACCCCCTCCCCCACTTTAAAAAGAAATCTTGGTTTGCAGATAAGCAAGGAATCTCAGTGAGGCTAAGTAACTTGCTCAAATCGCTCAAATCATCCCAACCTTGTTTTCCTTCACCAGAGGGCCATGCATGATCTCTCTGCCCTCTGATTTCTAGCGGAGACCTTGTACTGCTCCAGCATTTTCCATGCAAGGCTTTCTATGCCCGTAGCTAGGGTACAAGGTAAGGTTTGAGTAAACAATGTTTGGAAACAAACAAAAAAAAAGGGCATTTTAAAATTAGTTTCCATCGCAATGTTATTAGTCACAGCTAATGAGTCTTCTCATCAACAAGGTGCATCCTGTGGACTTGAAGGTCACAGAGAACATTTATAGACTGAACTTCTGCACCCGAGGCAGTCTGCAGGGTGTTCCCCCACACTATCCACCAGCCATGGGCTCCAAGATGTGGCTGTGAGCTCCTAAAGAAACTGGCCCCGTAGTGGAAGCTCCCAGCCCAATACTTAATTTGTAGAAGTCTGTAACAGTGATGACCAAATGAAGGAAAATGCAAGGACCTGGCACGCTCACAAAAACACAGCATGTCCACCGTCTAAGTCCACTATAAACTAAAGGGCATGCATCTTACCTTTCCTTGTCAGAATCGGTTATTTCCACTGACATTTCTGTTTCATGCTCCAGAAGCTGTAGCTGCAGCTGATGGCGTTCCTAAAATAAACACCGATATCTGAATCATCGGGTCCCCAGCTGGACAGAGAATGTATATAGAGTAATTCCAGCGCTAGTGGGTTCAAGTCTCCAGAATTCCCAGCGGGGTTTATGCATCCACCCACCAAAGTCCAAACAAAGCTCAAAAATGCCAAATCTTTTGGTGTGCATTTACAGATATATTTATGAATAAGATACAAAGATCCTGGATAAAGCCATCCAAGATTTCTTTTTACTGGACACCTGGGTGGCTCAGTTGGTTAAGTGGCCAACTGTTGGGCTCAAGTCATGATCTCAGAGTCATGAGACTGAACCCCATGTCAGGGCTCCGTGCTCAGCAGGGAGTCTGCCTGAGGATTCTCTCTCTCTGCCCCTCCCCCTGCTCTTGTGCACGTGCTAATAAAAATAAATAAATCTTTAATAAATAAATAAGTATTCCTCCAACTTCGGTTCGGGTACCTTGTGGGAATTTATAGTTCTAAGAAATGAAAATCCATGCTCTTAAGTCAGGAGCCTGTGATACTGCAAAATTCTTGGTTATTTTCTGCATTATCAAGAAAAGAACCTCAAGATTTTGGAAAATATCCACATTCACCCAGTAACCTGGGTGGTATTTACACAGGTATGTTTACTTGTAAAAGTGTACTGTGACAGAATAATGGGCGGTCCCCCACTGCTGTCCACATCCTGATCCTTGAAACCTGTAAATATGTTGCCTTACAAGAAAAAGGACCTTTGCAGATGGGATTAAGTTAAGGGTCTTAAAAATGGAGGAATGATCCTGGATTATCCAGCTGGGCCCTTCTGAAAGGAGGAAGAAGGGTTAGAGCCAGAGAAAGACAAAGACTGGAAAATGCTACACTGCTGGCTTTGAAGCTGCAGAGCCCTAAGTCAAGGAATGCAGGCAGCCTCTAGAAGTTAGAAAGGCCTAGCAAACAGACTCCCCTCTAGAGCTTCCAAAAGGAACCCAGCCCTGCCGACACCTTGATTTTAGCACCCCTGATCTCCAGGGCTATAAGAGAATAAATTGGTGATGTTTTAAGCCACTAACAGTGGTAATTTGTTGCAGCAGCAATGGAAAACTAGCACATATATCAGGCTGTGCATTAAGATTTGTACCCTCTGTTAAATATGCAAATTTTAAAGTCTATCCAAAAAAAGTAATAGACGAATATGGACAATTATTTCTTTGGACAAAGTGAAAAACGTTAATAAAAGCATAGCAGCCATCATAACCAAAACTGCTCTAGAAATACATTACAGACGTTGGTGTCATAGATTTCCTTAAAATGAAATTTATCAAACCCCGTTCACTAAATTGGGAGGAGATGATTTTACTTTAGGCCCTAAGTACCACTGTGCCTCTTCATTATTCTCAGAAATTCTCCCAACACACTCTTTAAAAGCAAACCTTTAGGGATGTCTAGGTGGCTCAGCGGTTCAGCGCCTGCCTTTGGCCCAGGGTGTGATCTTGGAGTCCCGGGATCGAGTCCCGTATTGGGCTGCCTGCATGGAGCCTGCTTCTCCCTCTGCCTGTGTTTCTGCCTCTCACTCTCTCTCTCTTCTCTCATGAATAAATAAACAATAAACTCTTAAAAAAAAAAAAAGGCAAACCTCTGAAAATCTCTCATGACTTCTGAAGCTATAAGCAGTGGTGTCCCAAGAAATAGACCAAAGAGACAGGAGAACAGTCAACCCTGACAGGAAGAGTGTATTATCACTGATGGATTTAGGAAGACCAACTTTTAGTGGGATTTTGTTTTTGTTTTTAAATCTCTCCAGAAATACACAGTCTTACTGCCCACCTGGGCAGAATGCTCCCCTGTTCTCACACCGTTTGCTGCTGCTGGAAGTTTGTATCAGCCCTGAAATAACCACGATGGACCTTTCACAAGTGAGCCCCCACTACCCGCGACCCCCGCCATGGCTGACTCCAGGAACAAAAGCTGTCAGAGAGTAGGGCAAGGCCTAACTTCCAGCACACTTTAAGTGTTCAATTTTTTTTCTAAATTGAAGCACAACAAATCTTAAGTGTACACTACCCAATAATTTCTTACATTTGTACATGCCTATAAAACCACCGCCCAAGCACAGAATATCACCTTTTCTGCAGCAGGGTCCCTGATAGATCACACTCCTTAAAAGATTTTTTACCAATCAGGAAAAAAGAGGTGTTCTGAAAATCCAAAAATAGGCGCAAGCAGGATACGACACTGCCACAGTTCGTGCCTGCGGACATGCTGTTCTCATAGTGTGTGAGACATCTGGCACAATTCCTGCTCTGAACGAGGTATCCCCAAGGGAGAAGGAGCAGTAAATTGGAATACCTAATCCTAGCTAAATAAAGCCAGCATATCTCTAGCCTAAATGGAAAAAGAAGATTTAGAGAAAGGACAATACATTTTCATTCACTACAGAAAAAGCCGACAGGGCCTGGGGAACAATGTGTGTCACATCAATGCCGGCAGGGAAGGCTGGCCTTACCACCTCCCTGGCCTCCCACCCATCACCTCTTACACAGGCTCCACGTGGGAATCAGCAGGGAAAAAAATTCTACTTTCAGAATCCCAAGGGTACAAAGAAGCTAAGCTATTAAAAAGAAAAAGAAAAAAAAAAAAGCCAAAAAAAGCTGACTCCAGGGGCAGACACTGACATAAGTCTAACAAAATAAAAATCAGGAGCCACACATTTTTGAGTCTCTACTACATGCCAGGCACGGTGCTTAGCACTTTGTGGGGACGTTTTTTGTTTACTGCTCACGAAGCCCTAAGAATTATTATTACCAGCATTTTACAGAAAACTCTGGAAGACTCAAGTAACTGCCCACAACTAGAAAGAGAGACAAGTTTTAAACCCTAGGTCCGTCTGATTCTAAAACCTGTATTTCCATCTGATTCTAAAACCTGTATGTTTAGCCACCACGTGGGCAGTCTCCATAAGGTGGCTTCCTGCCCCAACTAGGCTGCCCACTCACTTGGCACCTGTACGTGGCAGGAAAATCTGTCACCCGCAGGGAGCATTTACCAAACCAGTACCTTCTGCTGTTGCAGGGCAGGGGGAACGGGGGAAAAAGCTCACCTAAAGTTCCAGAAAATGCCATCATTGCCCAATCTTCACTACAACCACCTCCAACAAATCCTGATGTTAAACATGCCACTTTGCTCTCTTCGTTAAAGATTTTATTTATTCATGAGAGACACAGAGAGAGAGACCGAGACACAGGCAGAGGGAAAAGCAGGCTCCCTCTGGGAAGCCTAATATGGGACTCGATCCCAGGATCCCAGGATCACGACCTGAGCCAAAGGCAACTCAACCACTGAACTACCCAGGCGCCCCTGCCCTCTTCTTTTCAATAAAAGAGAGGATTCTGTTTTCCCAAGGAAGAGAGGTGAAGTTGTAGCAGACTCACTTTGTTCATATCGCTCCCAGATAAAGACATTACCTAAGGCGGGAGCCCCCAAAGCTCCGCAGCTCCAGAGCAGTGGGTTTAATGCCACTCCCGCCGTGGTTACACCGCACCTCATCAGGGCACCATAGAGGAGCCTATGTTGTGGACACGAGAGGGAAGGAGATCTCTCAGAATCCCTGGAAGCCCAGGAGCTGGCCATGCACACATTGTCATTCCTCCTGGCTCATCACCAGCCAGGGGATGGTCAGCATGAGCTACAGGGTATTCATGTCACAGTCCTGGCAGGTGGCCGCTGTTCAGCGGAACCACATGCTGCTGAGAACCATGCACAGCATTACCCCTAAACGAACACCCTTCCCCCAGAAGTCAGCGGTCACCTGCTAAAGGTCACCTTGCCTTTTTCCTCCTTCCTGCTTTTTCTTTTTCCTCTCTCCCACCCCTTCTTCCTATTGTCCACATTCTCTCTAATTTCTGCTTCCTCATCTTGATGTGGGAACGAGGAGTTACGGGCAGATGGCGTTAGGCAGGGAAAGATAAGGGAAAGGCCCCAGAGTCAGGCTCCTTCCCATCCCAAGAAAACAGAAATAAGACAGCAAAAACAGAAAAACCTGGCTCCCTAGCTCTAAAATGTTAGGGAGTATCCCCCTTTAATGGCTACTAAGTAATCACAGAAATCCCAGATGTAGAGAAATATTATGGAGCAGGTATTAGCCAGAGAGAAGGGAACCCCTTGTTTGGGCTCATAATATTTACAAAAAACATCTTGTTTGTTATTATGATAGTTACAAATCCACCACCTTTGCTCTAAATGTCCACCCTGATACCCACAAAGAATTTACCAAGTTCCCTGGTCAGTTTCCCATAAGACAGACCATAAAAGTCCTCAGTGGCAACCCTGTTCCCACAGGTTCCCAACCCTGTCCCCTAGAGGGACCCCTTTCCCTCTGAGAGCTTTCTCTGTATCTCCGATTAATAAACTTCTATCGCTTTGCTCACTCTGTTGTCCAAAAGATGGTCTCTGACTCTGTGATACAAGAACCAAGCTCTCCTATATCAGTCTCAGCTGAGCTCCGGCCTTCCCCAGGCTACCCACACCCACAGAAAACACAGGTCCTCCACTCTGCTGACAGATGTGGTGGGTCAGAGAAAAGCCAACCTTTCAGACACCTGCCCAAGAAACGCTCGCTCAGGATACTGATACGATATTTAAATAAGGCTTGGTTGCTCAGTGAGTCAATGAAGTTCATGCTTGGGACCCCAGTGAAACGATGCTAAAACATTTTTATAAATAACTACGTATGCGACGTTTTTTAAAGCATCAAAATAGGGGCAGCCCAGGTGGCTCAGCACTTGAGGGCTGCCTTTGGCCCAGGGCGTGATCCTGGAGACCTGGGATAGAGTCTCACGTCGGGCTCCCTGCATGGAGCCTGCTTCTCCCTCTGCCTGTGTCTCTGCCTCTCCCAATCTCTCTCTCTCTCATAAAGAAATAAAATCTTTAAAAAAAAAATAAGGCATCAAAATAGTGGCACCTGGGTGGCTCAGCAGTTGAGTGTCTGCCTTCAGCTCAGGGCATGATCCTGGGGTCCAGGGATTGAGTCCTGCATCGGGCTCCCCATAGGGAGCCTGCTTTTCCCTCTGCCTGTGTCTCTGCCTCTCTGTGTCTCTCATGAATACCTAAATAAATAATCTTTTTTTTTTTTAAAGCACCAAAACAGTTACTATAGGAAAGATGAGAACTTTGTCAGACCTTCTCATACTTCATTTTATGGCTTTGTTGTTTCCTGTTGAAATCACAAATTAGAGGGATGAGCAAGGCGGGTGCCGAAGGCTCCTTGCACCTTCGCGGGCCTGCCAGGACTGCAGGGATGTGGGGAGTCTGGGCCCAGAGCAGTGTTTGTTACCTTTTCCATGCGCTCAATCAGCCTGTCCAGCTCTCCAATCCTCTGGTCCTTCTCCACTAGGCTGATCTCCGCTGCTTCCATCTTTTTATTGGCTTCTTCAATAGCTTTCAGAAAACTTTTGGTTTCTTCCTGCAAAGGAAACACACTCTGTTCTCAGCACAGCTGTGGAGTCCCTAGGCTGCTAATGAGGGTCCAAACAGCGCTGGCCTTGCTAAATCGTGACATCTCTCTAAAAGCATACTCTTGGGGCTGAGAAGTGTCATGAACTCAGATCATGAACTCAACTCCCATGATTCGAGTTCTCACCTGCAAATAAAGAAACCTCGTGTGGCTTTTTAATGGGCCTAGTTATTTTTTCTCCTCTCCCCACCCCTCGAGTCCTTATATCTAAAAAACAAGCCCACAAATGTTATTTCTCCCTTGACTGGATGCTCAAAGCGTCAGTGTATTTGCCAATAATATAAAGGTAAGTAGGGCCACATCTGGAACTGAAGGCAGAATGCCTCGACCCTTCTCCCATACTGCAAAGCACCAAGTCGGTCAGCCACTCAGCACATCTATAGAGCTTTAAGAACACAAGAGAAGGCAGCCAAGGACTCCCTGCCTTCAACGATCTTACACTCGCTCCTACCAAAACCGGGATGTGAGATGTACAGGTGAGGTCTAGTAACAGGAACTACAGAATGCCACAGCAAAGAGCGGAGAGAGAACATGGGCTTCCCAAAGACACAGGATACTTCTAATGAATGGCAAAGACTTATTCACAGAGATGGTGGCATTTTCAGGGCTTTGCAGGTTCTTGGGAAGGTGCAGGGACAGGGAAGGAGGGCATTTCAGGTAAAGAGGAGCAAATGGAGGAAGAAAGGGCACAGCTGCATGGAAGCCTGGGATCTGCTGGAAGACTGGCAAATGGCATATCTAGCCAGAGAAAAGGAGGTACTTAGAGGCAGAGACTGGTGGTTATCTGGAGCAAGGAGGGGGGCATGAATGAGGGCAGGAGGGAGAAGTGGGGGGATGAGCAAGCAAATGAATAAACCTTGACCTTCACTCATGTTAGAGTCCACTGACTCCCCTCCAAGCAGAAACCCTGCTACTACCTAAACCTCACCAACATTCATGGACCACACGCTCCCCAGTTCTTCGTGGGCAGCTAGGGTATACACACCAGCAGAGCCTCCTTCTCGGCATTGTGCTTCTGCTGCTCCTCCTGCAGCCTTTCCTCGTACTGGCTGTACAGCTTCCTGGTCATCTCTCTCATCACCTCGGCATTGGCTTCCTGGGAGGATTCCACCTACAGAGACATTCATGTCAGAGCTCTGGCTTTTGCAGGTTCCAGGGAACCAGCACCTGCCACGCAGTGGTGAACCCACCAACTAGGCTTCTTCTGCGGAGACGGGAGACCAAAGCAGCAGGAACTAAGGGGAGGAGGATGGTGGGAAGAAGGAGTGGGGAGTAGAGGGGTAGAAAAAGAGAAAGCAGGACTTCACACTCTGTTACCAGGACAAGGACCCTCCACGTGAGCGAATTTTTCAAAAAGACAGAAATGTACCTAAGCATCAGCCTTGTCCCCCCAATTTAGCCACTTTTGAGTTGAATTTTTAAAATTAAAAGGTCTATCTGTTGAAGAAAAGAAGGAGTAAAAGAAAGGGGGGTGGCTCCAGTGGCTCAGGAGTTTAGCGCCACCTTCAGTCCAGGGCGTGATCCTGGAGACCCAGTATCGAGTCCCACGTCGGGCTCCCTGCATGGAGCCTGCTTCTCCCTCTGCCTGTGTCTCTGCCTCTCTCCCTCTCTCTCTCTCTAATAAATAAATAAAATCTTCAAAAAGTGATGAAAGGGGGTATTACAGGTACCGATATTCTATTTCTGGATATATTATTTTGTAGATTTGACTCTGAATCAAATAAATCGTTTATCTGTTACCAAAAAATTAAATTTCAAGAAATTACCTCCCAAGACCATTCAATGGGAAAAGGATAGTCTTTTCAACTGTTTGTTGAAAAGACTATCCTGGGACAAATGGATAGTCACACCCAAAAGAACATTAGACACCTAACACAACATATCCAAAAAGTAAGCCAAAATAGGAGGAGGGGCAAGATGGCGGAAGAGCAGGGTCCCCGAGTCACCTGTCCCCACCAAATTACCTAGATGACCTTCAAACCATCCTGAAAATCTACAAATTCGGCCTGAGATGTAAAGAGAGACCAGCTGGAACGCTACAGTGAGAAGAGTTCGCGCTTCTATCCAGGTAGGAAGACGGGGAAAAGAAATAAAGAAACAAAAGGCCTCCGAGGGGGAGGGGCCCCGCGAGGAGCCGGGCTGAGGCCGGGGCGAGTGTCCCCAGGACAGGAGAGCCCCGTCCCGGAGGAGCAGGAGCTGCACCAACCTTCCCGGGCGGGCGGAAAGGGGCTCGCAGGGAGTTGGAGCAGGACCCAGGAGGGCGGGGATGCCCTCGGGCTCCCGGGGACACTAACAGACACCTGCGCCCCGGGAGAGTGCGCCGAGCTCCCTAAGGGCTGCAGCGCGCACGGCGGGACCGACCGGAGCAGCTCGGAGGGGCTCGGGCGGCGGCTCCGCGGAGGGGGCTGCGGGGCGGGAGCGCGAATCCACAGCGCAGGCCCCGGAGCACAGGGCGCCGGGACACAGCCCAGGATCCGGCCTCCCCCGGGACAGGCAGAGGCCGGGAGGGCCCAGGACAGCGAGGACGCTCCTGCCCCGAGCTGAGCAGATCAGCGGCCCCGCCCCGGAGCCTCCAGGCCCTGCGGACGGAGAGCCGAGAGCCCCGTAGTTCCTGCGGAGGCTGAATCCAGGCTTCCAGAGTTGCCATAGCAACTGCGACTGTTCCTCCTGGGGCCTGACGGGGTAAACAACCCCCGCTGAGCCCTGCAGCAGGCAGGGGCAGAGCAGCTCCCCCAAGTGCTAACACCTGAAAATCAGCACAGCAGGCCCCTCCCCCAGAAGACCAGCTGGACGGACCAGTGATACTCCCCGTGTTCCAATACAACTTGTTTTTGGCCACTCTGCACTGAGCAAAATGACTAGAAGGAAAACCTCACTTCAAAAGAAAGAATCAGAAACAGCCCTCTTTCCCACAGAGTTACAAAATCTGGATTACACTTCAATGTCAGAAAGCCAATTCAGAAGCACCATTATACAGCTACTGGTGGCTCTAGAAAAAAGCATTAAGGCCTCACGAGACTTCATGACTGCAGAATTTAGATCCAATCAGGCAGAAATTAAAAATCAATTGAATGAGATGCAATCCAAACTAGAAGTCCTAACGACGAGGGTTAACGAGGTGGAAGAACGAGTGAGTGACATAGAAGACAAGTTAATGGCAAAGAGGGAAACTGAGGAAAAAAGAGATAAACAATTAAAGAACCATGAAGACAGATTAAGGGAAATAAATGACACTCTAAGGAAGAAAAACCTACGTTTAATTGGGGTTCCCGAGGGCGCCGAAAGGGACAGAGGGCCAGAATATGTATTTGAACAAATCCTAGCTGAAAACTTTCCCAATCTGGGAAGGGAAACAGGCATTCAGATCCAGGAAATAGAGAGATCCCCCCCTAAAATCAATAAAAACCGTTCAACACCTCGACATCTAATAGTGAAGCTTGCAAATTCCAAAGATAAAGAGAAGATCCTTAAAGCAGCAAGAGACAAGAAGTCCCTGACTTTCATGGGGAGGAATATTAGGGTAACAGCAGACCTCTCCACAGAGACGTGGCAGGCCAGAAAGGGCTGGCAGGATATATTCAGGGTCCTAAATGAGAAGAACATGCAACCAAGAATACTTTATCCAGCAAGGCTCTCATTCAAAATGGAAGGAGAGATAAAGAGCTTCCAAGACAGGCAGGAACTGAAAGAATATGTGACCTCCAAACCAGCTCTGCAAGAAATTTTAAGGGGGACTCTTAAAATCCCCCTTTAAGAAGAAGTTCAGTGGAACAATCCACAAAAACAAGGACTAAATAGATATCATGATGACACTAAACTCATATCTGTCAATAGTAACTCTGAACGTGAATGGGCTTAATGACCCCATCAAAAGGCGCAGGGTTTCAGACTGGATAAAAAAACAGGACCCATCTATTTGCTGTCTACAAGAGACTCATTTTAGACAGAAGGACACCTACAACCTGAAAATAAAAGGTTGGAGAACCATTTACCATTCAAATGGTTCTCAAAATATATCCTAAAAACTATAGAACACTTCTGAAAGAAATTGAGGAAGACACAAAGAGATGGAAAAATATTCCATGCTCATGGATTGGCAGCATTAATATTGTGAAAATGTCAATTTTACCCAGGGCAATTTACACGTATAATGCAATCCCTATCAAAATACCATGGACTTTCTTCAGAGACTTAGAACAAGTTATTTTAAGATTTGTGTGGAATCAGAAAAGACCCCGAACAGCCAGGGGAATTTTAAAAAAGAAAACCATATCTGGGGGCATCACAATGCCAGATTTCAGGTTGTACTACAAAGCTGTGTTCATCAAGACAGTGTGGTACTGGCACAAAAACAGACATATAGATCAATGGAACAGAATAGAGAACCCAGAAGTGGACCCTGAACTTTATGGTCAACTAATATACGATAAAGGAGGAAAGACGATCCACTGGAAGAAAGACAGTCTCTTCAATAAATGGTGCTGGGAAAATTGGACATCCACATGCAGAAGAATGAAACTGGACCACTCTCTTGCACCATACACAAAGATAAACTCAAAATAGATGAAAGATCTAAATGTGAGACAAGATTCCATCAAAATCCCAGAGGAGAACTCAGGCAACACCCTTTTTGAACTTGGCCACAGTAACCGGAGAAGGACAAACAGTGTATGTTCTCATTCATTTGAGGAATATGAATAATAGTGAAAGGGAATATAAGGGAAGGGAGAAGAAATGTGTGAGAAATATCAGAAAGGGAGACAGAACATAAAGACTTCTAACTCTGGGAAATGAACTAGGGGTGGTGGAGGGGGAGGAGGGCGGGGGGTGGGGGTGAATGGGTGACGGGCACTGAGGGGGACACTTGACGGGATGAGCACTGGGTGTTATTCTGTATGTTGGTAAATTGAACACCAATAAAAATTAATTTATATATAAAAAAAAAGATTGAAACCAAAAAATAAAAAAATAAAAAATAAATAAAAAGAAGGGAGATTGAAAAAAAAAAAAAAGTAAGCCAAAATAGATCAAAGGTTTAAATGTAAAAGACAAAACTATAAAACTCCTCTAAGTAAACATAAGGTGAATCTTTGCAACCTTTCTCAGATACGATACCAAAAGCATACACGACAAAAGATAAATAGAAAGACCTTATCAGTATTCAATATTAAAACTTCTGGGCTTCAAGGATACCATCAACGAACGTGAAAAGGCAACCCAGAGAGTGGGAGAAAAGATCTGTAGATCACATATCTGATAACTTGTGTCCAAAATATATAAAGATTTTTTTACAATTCAATAATATCCAATTTTAAAATGGGTGAAGGATCTGATAGATGTCTTCTTTGGGAAGATATACCGACCTATTAAGCACGAGAAATATGCTCAATATCATCACTTATCGGGGAACACAAAACCACAAAGAGATACCACTTCACACTCCTGGGATGGCCATTAGCAATGAAGCAGTAACAAAGTGTCAGTGAGGATATGGAGACATCAGAAACCTTTCACACTGCTGGTGGAAATGTAAAATGGTGTGGGCATATTTCTGCATTACCTTTCATACTATGGCTCCCCTCCCGCCGCCCCCCACCATGTGTATACATTATTTTAAAATCTTGTTATGTCACAGAAGCGGGGAGGCCTTTGAAGACAAGTTGCCCACATGGAGTTAAAGCTGTCCTATTAATCACACTGGCCCAACAGTACCTAGGAGAGACTTCAGTTCAGCTCATAGAAGAAATCTGGACTCAGCCTTTCCACATGTTTGTGCTTTCCTAAATACCACATTTAGAAACATTCCCACCTGGTCTGGGGGACACTAAGCCAGGACCTCCCAGTGCCTCTCTGGGCCCCAGCTCAAGAGAAAAGAAAAAGTCAGCAGATGGGTGAGCAGGACTCAGGTTGGAGGTGGCTGGTACTCCCTTTCTGCCCATGCCCCATCCTTGCCTTTGAACCTCATGCCATTGATTTTATGCTGCAGAAGGTCTATCTGTGTCCCGTCCTTCCAGCTTATTGCTTTTTCCAGAGAGCTGAGCCAGCTGGATGTGTGAACTCTGGATAAAGGAAGTATACTTCAAACTCCATGGGTACATGACATTTATTTCTAAGATCCAACAAAAGTCTCTGTTGGTGCTAATCAACCTTCTCATCACTAGAGAGGTTCTGGTACAAGCAGCCACAAAATGGAATATCCTGAGCAGTGAATTATCATCAGCTGAGAGACACACAATGTGTCCTGCACTCCATTTCCATGGCAAACAGAGACTTCTAGAAAGGGCTATGTCCCTCCTGTCCCTCATTGGCCCACTCAACCACTGCCCAGCATCCTTGGTCACCCACGGATCTTCTTCCTGCATGCCCTTGATAATAAAGAGCCCTTATTACCTTCCAGCAGGCTCTTTATTATCAAACCAGAAAGACCTTGAGACATCAGAGAAAATCTCAACAGTGAAGTCTTCTGAAGTCCCAGACCTGTGGGCAACCCCCCGCCCTCTCAGTATGTGACAGTGGTGCCATGATGACTGTCTCAGCAGCCCTTAACGCCACTGGGGCCAGGGAAGAAGTGCCCACTCAGGGTATTCGTGGGGCATCCCAATCTGAACTGGGAATAGTGAACATAGAACCCCCCTCGGTGCCTTCAAGCCAAGCCCTATGGAGTTGGCCACAAAAAGTATGGGAAATGCCAACCAAGAAAACAGAAGAAAGGAGAGGAAAAAAAAAAAAAAAGAAAGGAGATGGATTTGTTAATGATGGGAAGAGAGAGAAGGAAAGGGAAAGAAGAGAAGGGTCGGGGGAAATCCGCGCTCCCCTACTTTACCTTCATCTTCAACAGCTGATTTTCAACTTGCGCTACCTCCAACTGCCTCTGCTTTTCCCGCAGCTGGCCCATGGATGCTTCATAGGTCTGCTGCAGATCTCGGATTTGATCCTTAATGTTGCTATTTTCCAGAGTAACATCCACGAGGGTTTTCTAGTGGCATAAAAAGAAATCAAAACCAGATCCGATGATGTGAGAAAACATGGCCAGAGTCATGCACCGGGACATCCTTTTGCCATTAACCATTGGGAGAGATGTCAAGCAGCTGCAAGCCAGGAGGCTGGTATCTGGGGGGCTGAGGGCTCCCCACCATGGGCAAGTAAGTGGTCTAAGGTTCTGTAGTTGGGTGGGCCAGCGAGCCTTCCCATCACACCCCACAGCCTCTGCCCACACCACCTGCCCCTGCTCAGGATGAATGGAGATGGATAAAAATGGAGTCTTTCCAGGAAAACTGTTCATAATGCATCATTTCACGTAAGAAAAATTAGGTTTTGAAAATAGTAAGGGTAGAACAAATCCCATTTTGAAAAGGAAAATGTATAAGCATCGGTTCAAACGTGTTTATGCAGAGACAAGTTTTCAGAAGACTGGGATGAATTTCACCAAGATCCAAATAATGGTTATCTCTATGTGGTAAGATTATGGAGGATATTTATTTCCTTCTCTGTGTTTTCTGTATCTTTCAAATTCCTACAACAAAATCAAAAAACAAAAACATACGTTTTGTAGAACGGAGATAGTCCCCTTTTTCCTTAAAGGGGCTGTCCCTTCTGTACTTGTGAAACCACCTACCAGGACAGCCACAGCATGGCTCAGGTTCTGGTGGTGCCAGCAAATGCTTCCCCTTCCCCTACCAGGCAGAGAACTGTGGCAATGAAGAAGTACCAGGGAACAGAGTCTGGTGACTCAGACAAGTGCCTGACAAGCATCAAAAACCTGTTGATTATTGCTCCAGGCCATCCACTGGAGCAAGAATGATTAAGTGGCTCAGAGGTTGAGCATCTGCCTTTGGCTCAGGTTGTGATCCTAGGGTCCTAGGATCAAGTCCTGCATTGGGCTCCTCACAGGGAGCCTGCTTCTCTCTCTGCCTCTGTCTCTACCTCTCTGCCTCTCTCATGAGGAATAAATAGAATCTTTTTTAAAAGTTATTGTTAAAAAGAAGAAGAAAAAGGAGAAAAGAAAGGCACCATATCACAGCCAGGAAATTCAAGTGAATCTGAAGATTGTTGGCTTCTTACTTCTGCAAGGCTCTGACCTCTCCCCTTGCCCAGACTATCCCATTTTCATTATTATTGACAGACCAGAACCTTGGTTTGATTTCACAGGCTGTCAGAAGTCTAAGGAACTGCTGAGATGATCCCCAGTCCCCCTGTTTTATGGATAAACAAGCTGAAGCCAGCAGAAAAAAACGACTTGAACAAGGTGTCTGGCTAGCAGTAGAGCCAGGACTAGAACCCTGGTGTCTGGGTCCAGATGTAGGTTCATGAGCACAAGAGTTCTATTTGTAGAGCCAGTGGGCCTTGGAGAGGGAGCGATTGGGCCGGGTGGTTTCTAAAGCCCCTTGCAGCTCAAATATCTTCTGATTCTGTGCTTCCAAATGGCTTCTGTATTTTCGTTAATGTCTAATGTCTATTTACCTCCATCAAAAATCCTTTCTCCTGATTCAAGTAGGTTTAGGAATCAGAGGCATTTTATCTACAGTGAAGGCTAAGGACTTGAGGAAGCTTCAAGGACTAATCCTCTACAAAGAGGAGATAGGCATTAGAACATGTATCCAACCCCAGAGTTTCTAAATCTAACTGAAAGTCGAATGTGACTTGGGGAGGTGGTAGATGGTACACACAACCCAGTCCCCGGTGGTAAGAATTCCAGGTTATGGAAGCCATTCTCTGTATGAATGAGGAGTTAACCATGTAGAACCCAAAGCATTAAATCATACCAAAATTAACTGGCATTAAGCAAGAGTGATGGGGAGAAGCAGAGGGTGAAGCAGATTCCCTACTGAGCAGGGAGCCTGATGCGGGGCTCGATCCCATGACTCTGGGATCATGACTTGAGCCAAAGGCAGATGCTTAACTGACTCAGCCACCCAGGTGCCCCTTAACATAATTTTTAATCTTTTCATTATAAAGCTCCTCTGCCCCAGGCCAAGACACTGGACTGTAACTAGGAACCAGTCAGATACCTGGGTTATGGCTGACCCTATTCTGATGGCTGACCTGCCTGGAGCACCAGCGGGATGGCAGGTCAGAAGTACAGGTGGGGAAGAGAACCCAGAAAATCAGTGCCCATACCAACCAGGTCTGCACTTAGGTGAGGTACAGCATCTCCTACTGTTTGGCCAGGAGCAAGAAGATGCCCGAGAGAAGGAAAGGGAGCCTTGCCAAGCCCCCTTGATGGCAGAAGAAAGGGAAAACCATACCAGACCCAGAGCAGGGCCAGGCCTGGGGCCAGGGGAAAACCAGCATGCACTAAGAAGGATCAGGAAAGGGGTGAGGCTCCAAGACCCCACCAGAAATGGCCTCCCAGCCAAATCCCAACACGATGCCTGCCCAGGCCCGCTGCTATATCTAGCTTTGTGGTTGGCACTACTGCCCTCACAGCTGTGACCAGAGAAAACCAGGCTCATGGGGAAGTGGAGGATTTCAACATGAAAATTTATCTGTTATTTGTATAGAACTGGGAAGGACACATAATAGCTGCGGCACCTTTTAGAGAAGGGGAAAAAAATAAGAGCCAAATGGATTTAGAGAAGAGGCAAGAAACTGTTGTGTGCCTATCTGGAAACCAAAGCCAAGGGAGAGTGTTTCTGGTGAATGTAATGCTGTTCTGAACCTTTTCAAGTTAATCTGCATATTAGATGCAGGACTCAGTTGGAAGGGTAACAATGGGTAGCACTGGCGGGGTGAACTCCCAGCAAGGCAGTTCAATCACGGGAGCAATCCTCCTGAGGTGGACCGAGGACGCACATTCAGAGTGTCCTGAATCCTTCTGCCTTCCTGCCTCGTACTAAAGACATTCTTTGGAATGCACAGGATTTCTTTTATTGCAAAATAATTTCTAAATTAGTAAAAAGTGCTTCACAGTCTTTGGGAGTTACTTGCCATGAATGAGTACAGATTGGGGAGATCTGCAGATTGTCTGTGAGTAGGTCTGTACAGATTGGGGAGATCTACAGATTGTCTGTGAGTAGGTCTGTACAGATTGGGGAGATCTACAGATTGCCTGTGAGTAGGTCTGTCTTTTCCGTGCTTGGGTGGAACTTCCCGTAACGCGAGAGCTAAAAGAACAGGGGCTGATGTGCTGTTTTAAGTGCTAATATTTAAGACCACTTGGGTACCTACTGGAGAAAGTGACATCTCTAATGGAGCTCAGGATCTAAACGCCCATTTTAATGAAGGCAAAAACAAATTCTACTCAAAGGTTTAGAGTCTTGGCTTGGAAGCGCTTCCTCTCACCTCCTTCACTAGCTTCCTGGTATGGGCTTTACTGTGGCCATGGTTGAAGGATCCTAAATAATGATCTGAAGACATCCCGTGACTTACTTTACTACCGAGGCACGGACCCACACTTGGTTAGGCATGCCGGCCCCGTAACAGAGGGCACCCCAGAGGGCACCCAGGCTAACGGCGAGCACTGGAGTACCTGCAAGCCAATGGAGTCCGACGTTAAGGTTGAGTTCATGGCATTAAAACTGTCCAGGGCTGACGACTGTGTCTGGATGTGACTCTCAAGATACTCCTGCTGAGCCTGTGAAGCCTGAACAGATGACGAGATGGTTACACAAAACCATTTATACCTGCAACAAGCTTCAGTTAGGCTTCTCCTGATATTTCAAGTGCAGCTTAAAATTGCAAATTCAACATCTGCATGACCCAGAGAGGGGAAAGACAAGAAGGCTCTTCCTTTACATATTCACCCACAGGCCTCATCTGCTCCTCACAACAGGTGCAGCAGCAGACCATCCCCCTTCACATGGAAGAAACAGAATCAGAGAAGCTACGGGGTTTGCACACCAGCAGCTGAGAAGCGGTACAGCTAGAACCACTGTATAAGGGTATAACTAGAACCCAGTTGGAATATCTTCTCATGACATCTTGCTCTTTCCACTCAGCACAGAAAGAGCACATCTGGGGTGCACCCAGTTCTCCAGCATCATTCTGGGGCTGCCGCTGCTGCCGTGTCTTTGTTGGGTGTGTGTGTTTAACGTGTTGCAGACAGTTTCATCAGAGAGAGTTCTACAAGTTTAAGCCAAACCTTCAAGAAGGTCTGGGAGCAGGGAGGCAGGAGAATGAGGGGTAAGGATTCGGGGTAGGCTCAAGGGTGGATGCCGGTGGGGTCTGCTGGAGCCACAGAAAGCAGTCAGCAATGACAGAACCAGAGGGGCACCCTGCACATGGGAGGCAGAGTTGAAACAGCAGGGCAGGCCCAGGAACAGGGTGGGGGGCACGTTCTTCCTCAGGGACGTGTTCACATTGCAAGAATTTAGCAATGGTAATGTGGCTGCAGAATGAGGGCTGGCCTAGGGGAGGAGACGGGCAGAGACATAGTTTCTCGCATGGGAAAATGAGGGTGTGCAAGAGACGGTGATGGAAAGCCAGGGGCAGAGACCTGTCTGTGCATCTATTGCAACTCCAATCCTCCGGCTTTAATTACAGTTGTTAGCGCGTGTCAGTGGATGGCAGACTCAATTTCCACAAGTATGTGAGAATTTCACAAACCTCTTCCTACATGCCAGTTGAGAATGGGCTACGCCCCCACCCCTATAATCAAGGCAATGGGTCTTACTTAAGCAGATAATCTCCCAGCCAAGTCATGCGCTAACCTCTAACACGGCTGGCGTAACTGTGCTTCCTTCCTGCAGAGATTCACCTTTACGGAAAGTAGGTTGTGTATACGTGGACTTTTTTTTTTTTTTTTTTTTTTTATTTATGACAGTCACAGAGAGAGAAAGAGAGAGAGGCAGAGACATAGGCAGAGGGAGAAGCAGGCTCCTTGCACCGGGAGCCTGATGTGGGATTCGATCCCGGGTCTCCAGGATCGCGCCCTGGGCCAAAGGCAGGCGCCAAACCGCTACACCACCCAGGGATCCCCCCGTGGACTTTTTTTCCTTCAACATTATGAATCAAAAATACAAAAAATAATTTTTTCGCAGGCATTAGCTTGTTTAAACAGGGGAATGTTATTTTCTCTTAAATTGGAAAGTAAGACATTCACATAGTTCAAACATTTACAAAATGTAAAAGGTACACACTAACATAAATCTGTCACTCCTGTCCCATCTGTTCAGGGACCACCTTGCCTACTCTGCCCCTCAATTAAGAATCATTTAATTTGGGGATCCCTGGGTAGCTCAGCGGTTTAGCGCCTGCCTTTGGCCCAGGGCGTGATCCTGGAGTCCCGGGATCCAGTCCTCCGTCGAGCTCCCAGCATGGAGCCTGCTTCTCCCTCTGCCTATGTCTGCCTATCTCTCTGGGTCTCTCATGAATAAATAAAATCTTAAAAAAAAATATTCCCCAAAGCATATCTTGACTGGTCCATTTTCCTCTCTTTATTTGAGATGCTACATTTATCATATATTGGAGTACATTTCTTCACTTTTTTCATGAATGCTTACTTATTTATGTGTTAATATGATGCTGTCCTAATCTCTGAGGCTCTCTCAGTTTCTTATAATATTAATAGAGCTAGTCTTCCTCATTGTATTTTTTTCCCCAGAATTTCCTCAATGCTTCCTATTTATTTTCTGTATACTCTGGAATCACCTAGTCCAGTTATAAGAATGACATAAAATAAAAATCTGTTGGTATTTTTATTGGGTTACATTACATTTGTGTATTACCCTGAGTAGTAAGGACATCTTACAATGTTGGCAATTCCTATCTAAGTACATAGTATGTCTTTCCTCTTGGTATAGTTTACTCCTAGATATTTGGTAGTTCTCTTTGCTCTTGTTTCTTCTCACCAGTTGTGTTTTGTATACTGAAATCTATTTGTTTGTACCTATTAATTTTTTTACCCTGCTACTTTACAAAATTGTTTTTTACAGTAGTTTTTTTTTCCATTGGCTCACTTGTGCTTTCTGGGTATATAATCATATAGTTTGTAAACAGTGACATTTTTACATCTACCGTCTGGTTTTTATACCTCTAAATTTGTTTCTCTTGTTTAATTCCATTGGCTAATCTCTCAGGTACAATATTAAATAGTAATGATGATAGCTGGCTTCCTTGTCGTGTCCCTCACTGTGGAGGGAATGCTTTGAATGTAAAGATTCTTCTTGCCACAAATGTCCCTTTAAATAATACACTTAATTCTGTGACAAAATTCCCTCAGTTCATTTAAAATATGATTCTATTCACAAAGAATATCATAAACTCAAATATGTTCAGGTACCAGCCACTCAGAGGGAATCCTAAGCCCTACCATCCCTCCATATTTCCAAGTCACTGAGATATTCACTTACTGACAATTCCTGGGTAAGCTGTCGAATCTTCTGTCTCATTTCATCATAGTCTCCATACATTCGCTTCCTTACTTTTTCCAAAGTGGCTCTCACCTGCAGCCCACAAAGATGCTAGTTAGAGATCAAGTTACAAGATTTTGAGAGATTTTCTGAAACACTAATGACAGGAGGGCTCCACAAAAAAAAAAAAAAAAAAAAAAAAAAAATTTTAAGAACATGACAGTTTGGGAGATTAAGAAAATCACTTCTAATATCTAGTTAGAAGCCAAGGGAATTATCCAAATAACAACAATAAATATGTATTATTATGTATGTTTATAATTATTAATAAAGATGAATTATCCAAATAATAAGCCCTAAAGAAAAAATGGTTTGTTGAAATGCACCTATCACCTGTCAAAACACATTCAGCAAGATTCCTTTTCCTAGCACACATTTTTATAAGTAGAAAGTTAACAAGTTGACTCTATAAACAAGTGACTAAGAAGACAAAAAACAAAACAAAACAAAACAAAAAAGCAACCTCTAATTTTCGCTATCTCTGCTCTGACCACCAAAGAGCAATTAAATGTCTGAAATATACGGCAGGGAAGTATGAGCATAGAGAGACCATAAATTTGAACATTTCTCATTTATCAATAATACACAGGCACAAAATATAACAAAAGTCAGGGTAATCCTCCAAACACCTGTTTACACAACCACTGTTGAAGTTCCTCTATAGTAGCACTTTTGGAGGAGTAACCAGGTCCTTACAATTTTTATTAAAAAAAAAAAAAAAAAAAAGCCTTGACCCTGTCAAGGGTCAAAAAAAGCCTCTGCTCCCGCTCTGCTTAATGGAGAGCTCAGGGATCCTCAAATAGAAACAAGGTCTCAAGGGAGCCCTCTGCAGGGAGTTCCAGAACCTCCATGGCAGGAGGGACTCAAAGACAGCGGTTGGTAGGAATTAGGGGATAGCACGAGGGAGCACTTCACCTTGAAGCTGTATTTGCATAGCTAGCACACGGTTTTAAATCAGATTGCATGTTTGTTAGAGGTGACTGCGTATTGGTGAAAATTTTGGCAGCAAGGTGTAAATCAAGATGCCAAGACTTTCCTAAATGAATTCTGATCAAGAGTCTACTTTCTTGCTGTTATCTACAAACATTTTGGGGAAATTGAGGCCCGAAACACTCTGGCAGACAGAAAGGTTTTCACCATGGCCCTAATTGGCTCTCATGCTGCTCATCAGTGGGGAGTGGGCTGGCTCTCAAGCTGGATGGCAAGTGGTACGAGAAGCCAACTGGGCCAGAATCACTCATGGCAAGAGAGAACAATCCCATAAACATGCTTAGGGATGAGCAGACCAGGATGGATTTGAAGCCAGCTATAGAAGGTGGGACCTGGAAATTAATTTTATGTTACAGGTCACAATGGAGGCTAGTAATCCAGGTCAGAACCATCCCTGTGTCCCAGGCACATGTCATCCCTGATTCACAACCAGCCTCCACCTGTTGATTTTGTCTTGGGCAACTGGCGGCTCTTCAGCTCTGCTTAAAAGGTTTACCTGTGAAGCAGTGCCTTTTTATCCGAGGTATATAAGAAGGGACTAAGTATTTACTTGAGAAAAATACTGGAGATGAGGAATGTTCAAGTTGCTTCTATAGAGGAAGTCAAGAATGAGATACTCTGAATGATTAAAAATTATATTTGGGGAGTAGAATGATTGAGGATTTGAGGGTGGTGGTTGTCACAGTTGTCCTGTACATTTGTGTATGTATGTAACTTTTTTGGCTTTTCTTCATTTTCTCTGTTAAGCATTTATTATTTTTAACTAAGACAAGATTTTTTATTTCTTTTAATTATATAAGTATCTAAATCTTTCAAGACACGTGAAAGAAGGTGCCCAAAACAGTTATTTTTAATACTCAATGAGATGTTCTTTTTAAAAAACTGTACAAAAAAATTAAATTAAATTAAAAAACTATACAAAAGCTGATAACATGACTTTGTATCTTCTCTGCAAACGCACCATATAAAAAGCTAGAAGTTTTGACTTTAGGGGTCCCTTCCCACCCTCCACAATCTATATAGGAGAAAACAGAAGCCCACAGAAACAAAAGCTTGGCTGGGCCAAACACAGAGGTAGATGTTGAACCAAGGTCTAGGGGGTACCCCACTGCCCCACACTGCTCTGCTTCCCATGAGCACTTTCTAGTCCACAGGTGGTGCTCTGAGCTCATCAGTGTCAGAGTAACTAATTTCCTCTCTATCTAATGATACTGATTTGGTCAACAGGGCACTGGGAGGCCAAAGAACCAAAAAGGAATGGAGATGGATGGATGGATGGATGGATGGATGAAAACAAATAAAAGAGTGTGTAATTAAAAATATAAGAAACGTTATATTAAACATAAAGAAATGACATTGGCCTGAGATGGACAGTGTCTACTGTGGTTGACTTCTCAGCATCTATTTCGACTAACTGATCTGAACCAGCTATAATCAATCCCATTCCCCTCACCAGGGGATCCATCCAGGGATGGATTTGGGAATGGGCCTGTGACCCAATCCTGGCCAATGAGATATAAGAAACCTAACAGAAGGACTCTAAAAAAAGAAACCAGAGACAAGTAGCCTCTTCCTCCAGCCACCATTATATTTTTAGATGATGCCATAAGCCTGACACAAAGGAGGAAAGAACCAATGGAAACTCTGAGAAGGATTCAGAGGAGGACTGGAGCTTGGATATGCCCTAGCGAGAGCCCACCTATCCCAACACTTACCCCACATGAGACAAATTTCCTCTTTGAGTTGGCTTTTCTGTTCCTTACAACCAAAAGCAATCAAATTTATATCATTTTGAAACTCATGTATTAGGAGTGGAGTGTCCTACATATTAAGAAAAATCACTTAAAAGTCTCCATATCATATGTGGAAGAACGGAATCATTTGGTCTCCTGAGCATCCCTACTTAGCAACCTCCAGCAGTTCACTCTATACTTCACTACAGAATTACGAATATGTACCTTTACCATTACATGAAGATATGGAGAAACATTTCCATTGAAAACAGTAATGCTAGAAATTCTTCCAAAAGGCCTTATTACATTCACGTCAATACTTCCACTGCACCATCTCACATGCTACAAAAGGAGTACAAACAAAACCAAAAACAGCAATCCTCAAATGACTCACATCTCTGATGTAGTTCATCTCTTCTTTCAGCTGGTTGGTGGACCACCCATATACCACCATTTCTTTCTGCTCGTTTGGATCTGATCTCCGCACCACGCCATAGACAACACCCTGAGGAAGTTTCCTGGTTGGTTCTCCATTGCTTAGTTCAGGGAGCTTCAAGAAGGTAGAAAAGAGAAAAGAATAATGACTGTTTAGGACTGGTAGAAACAGTTGTGATAATGGGTACATTGTATGTGGCACTAAGGAGCCCAGCGGAAATCCAGCCCGGTCACTTTCCTCCTGCCTGCACCTGGAATGTGTCATGCCAGCCTCTACCCTGGAGGAAGGCCATCTTTCTCAAATTTCTATCAAAGCCCTATCCATCTACCTAAGAGTGCATCTGCAGGGCCCTACCAGTCCAGAGGAGTGCCTTTCATTCTCACGGAGGTGCCAGGTTGACCTTTGTTGCCCCTCACGACAAGAGCCAGAGTCGGCACTTTCACAGTTCAGGTGTCCTAATAATGCTGCTTTCCCCTGAAAAGCAATTCCTCTGTATGCCTTCAACCTCATCATTAAATACATCACTTGAAATGCATGAGGTTGAGATACTGGGGGAAGAATGTTGGCTGCCCACTGGCAGCCAAATTGTCCCCTTTGGTTAAGACCCACCCTGGAGCCAGCTCAGAGAAAAGGTGGGGGTGGGGGGAGGGGCGGGGGTGGAGGAGTACACAACCTGTTATGACCATTCATGAAATATTTCTATAAAGTCAGGCAGAGGGGATCCCTGGGTGGCGCAGCGGTTTGGCGTCTGCCTTTGGCCCAGGGCGCGATCCTGGAGACCCGGGATCGAATCCCACGTCAGGCTCCCGGTGCATGGAGCCTGCTTCTCCCTCTGCCTATGTCTCTGCCTCTCTCTTCTCTGTGTGACTATCATAAATAAATAAAAATTAAAAAAAAATAAAGTCAGGCAGAGCCAGCAGGACTTCAGCCAAAAGAACTTTCTTACACTTTAATCCCTTCACCCAGAGCTTTAATACCCTTGGGAAAGGATAACACGTTCAAGTCCTAACACACTTTTCTAGAATGAAGGCTCAAGAAGCTAGAGAAAGGAAAATTAGGATTTGTTCAGCTTCTACTATAAGCCAGATAGGTTCCTTAGTACGTTTAATCTTTACAACCATTCTGTGACATAGCAATTGTCCTCTCCACTTGATAGCTGAGAAAACCAAAGTTCAGAGAGGTTAAATAACTTGCTTATAGCCACACATCTAGATTCAAGGACAATTCTGTCCTTCCGACCCTAAGTATACCTCCCCACACCATGGGCTTTGTTAGGTACAAGATGATAGAGCAAGCACCCCCATGACAGAGAAGGGCAAGACAAAATCAGGGACTGAGGCTTCATAGACAAACCAGCCTACACCAGGCTCCCCTGGGGCTAACCCTGACCATGACAATCACAGTACAGAAGCCTGAATTCCATATGGCAAGCCTGCTCTCCCACTATTTTTTAAGATTTTATTTACTTACAGAGACAGAGAGAGACAAAAAAAAAAAAAAAAAACACAGGCAGGGGTAGGGACAGAAGGAGAGAGAGATTGTCAAGCAGATTCTGTGCTAAATGCGAATACCAACTCAGGGCTCGACCCTGAGATCATGACCGGAGCCAAAATCAAGGGTGGGACACTTAACCAACTGAGCCACTCGGGTGTCCTACTCACTAATTTTTTACACCACCTTTGCATCAATTCCTTCCATGGACTCACAAAATATTTTTGACATATAAGACTGTAATTTACATTTTAAAATCATTCATTTGCTACAGAATATAACTTTACGTTCCCATTCATTTAAAGTTGTCAAAGAAAAGTCTAGAAAGATACATGGTAAATTATTAATAGTAATGACCTCTAAGGAGGGGACAGCATGGTAGAGCTGGGGTACTGGGTATTAGGATGACTTTCAATTCTTTATTTATACCTTTTTGTACTGTTTGCCTGTCAATGATGGGAAGCTTTAAAAAAAAATTAGGAAACAAAACACTCATTGCTTCCCACCCTTCTGTACATATTTGGGAAGAGATGAACTATGAGGTGTTGTGACACTGTATTTGCTTCCAGAAAATGATTCTGCTTGAGTCTTTTGTGCTTGGATCCCACTGGCACTAATCCAACTCTTGGAATTTGTACATAAATTTAGGTGAAGAGACTGTTCAGTTGCTCTTGGTGGAATGACAAGCTAGGATTCCAGACCCCTGGTTTCCCATACAAATAATTAGGAAGAGGAAAAGCTCTCATGAAACTCCCCAAATACCAGGCAACAAAAGCATGCTCTTTTAATCAGACTCCACCCAGTTCCTGAAAAACAAGCTGATGAGGATGGGAAGGCTTAGTGAAATGCATTTCTGCAAAGCAAAGGCTTTCCCAGACGGGACTGGTTTTCAGGAAAATGCTCAGGTGGCTGCACACAGACAACTCTGCCTCCCTGCCTGTGGAGGAACACGCACAAAATGTCACAGACAACACGAGGTCTGTGAAACACGGCTCCAGAGGTGGTGGATCTAATCGTTACACACATGGAAAGAAAGATATCGAAGATCTGTTAAGAGAAAAACAGTAATTTCTATATTTTTGGTTTTCTTTTAAAAATGTATGTTTATGTGCATAAAACATCTAGAAGGGTGGAATCCAAATTTTTAATGCCAGTGGCCTCAGGCAAAATAGGATTTCATTTTTTAATTTATGCTTCCTTTTATCTGATTTTTTAAAGACTTTATTTATTCATGAGAGACACAGAGACACAGGCAGAGGGAGAAGTGGGTTCCATATGCGGGCAGCCAGATGTGGGACTCGATCCCAGGACCCAAGGATCATGACCTGAGCCAAAGGAAAACGCTCACCCTTGAGCCACCCAGGCATCCCTACCTATGTCTGATTTTTAGCCAAAGAAAAGGGGCGGGGGGTGCATTATTTTTGAATGAATAACATTCATTCAATTTTCAAAAAACAAAAATGAAAAGATTATTACAAAGTCAGGAACTAAATAAAAGAGTCCAGACAAGTGCTGAGCACAGGACTCTGCTCAGGAGCAGGGCCACTCTCACGGGCCACTCCACACAGCGAGGGTTCCTGAGGCCATGAGCAGCTGCTGCACTGTGATAGGCAAACAGAAGGGAGGTTTATGAATAAAGCACAGGGAACAAATATTTGTTGTCTGTTTTATTACACAGTATTTTCTTTATCCTCACAATAACCCTGTCATGTAAATATTATTAGTTCTTCCAAGGTGGCCACAGCATTCAAGTGCCTGAGTACATCTTCCCAAATCTAAGCTCTTGCCTTTGACCACAAAGCTTTCAAAACAGCTAAGAGTCAGGGGTGAAATGGAATCTCACATCTCCAAGTGGCAGCAGCCCAGACCTCAGCGGCAGGGAAGCCAAGAGCCTGGGCCCCGGTCTGGTTGGGGCCACTGGGGAGGGGCAGGCTCAGCACAGGGAGGCCTCCTGGCTCCGTCTCCCCCTCTGCCCCCACCCCGTCCTTTCTGCTCCTTTATCAGTCAACCCCCTCCTTGTCACAGGATGTGACACAGGCTATTCCCTCTGTGTCCAGTGCCCACTGCTGGGCTGAAGTGTCTCTCCCTCAAGGACATCTTCACTGACCCTTCAGACTGGTTAGGTCTCTACACCTTCAGCACAACCACAACACAGTGACTATTAGTATCATCACATATGTAAGGGCTGCTCACCTAGCCACTGGGCCATGTTGATCTTCTTTACCATCATAAGCCCTGACATCTATCAGTGACTGAATCAGTCAATGAATTTCTCAATAAGTGTTTGCTGAAGAGGGAGCTTTAGAGGTTGGAAGAAATTCTGGGGAGTTTTCCAGATTATGTAAATATGGTCAAACTAAAGGGAACATCCTCTGTGGAAAGATGTTAGACCGAGGGACAGGGAGCTGATGTTTACCCCGTTCATAAACTCTCCATCCAGCGGAGTTGCAAAGGAACCCAAGAAGGCTATCACTCTGATAAAATGTATGTTTTTGATGAAAACCTAGAGAACTCAGGAAAAAAATGAAAAGAGCCAACATGTTTGGCACTGTGTCTGCGGTTGAATTTTTCTCCTCTCAGGTCCTTTAAGGTATCTCCCTATAAGATAAATATTAGTTTCTGAAGCATGATAACAGCATTGTGATCGTATGAGAGATAGTCTTTATCTTTCAGAGAAACATGCTTAAATATTTATGATATCTGGGATACCGGGTGGAGGAAGCGGATGGGAGTGCAGACAAGCAAGACTGAGCTTGGGTTGAAGGCTTTGGGGCTGGGTGAAGGGTCAGTAATTCATCACACCGTTCAGTCTCCTTTTGTGTATGTTTGAAATTCTCCGCAGTCAAAAGTTGTGGGGTTTTTTTTGTTGTTTTTTTTTTTTTTAAACTTCTTCATAATGCTGCTTGGTTGGTATTAAAATATCAAATTCTTTAAAACATACTAAGCCTATTAAAAAGCCTCCTGGGTATGAAATAATACTAGGCAAAACTGCCCGGAAAACCAAAGCCCTACCAAATGTAGGAAATGAAAAGAAAGTCAGTGTCAAAGAAGGGAAAACAGTAACAGCCAACTGAAATGCACCCCGTGAACTGCAATGTAATTAACAATAGACATAATCAGAGAAATATACAGAGAATCTCTCATTTAAACTGTTCCCTGGGATATACTCATGGCTGAAAATTTACTTACAGACTCATGCTCTGGCTGTTTTCCCCAAAGACGTATGTAGTCCAAATTGCCTTAGAAAGAAGGAGAAAGGGATCCCTGGGTCGCTTGGCGGTTCAAGAGTCTCATGCTCTACCGACTGAGCTAGCTGGGCTGGCTTGGCGGTTTAGCACCTGCCTTTGGCCCAGGGTGCGGTCCTGGGGTCCTGGGATCGAGTCCCGTGTCAGGCTCCCGGCATGGAGCCTGCTTCTCCCTCTGCCTGTGTCTCTGCCTCCCTCTCTCTCTCTCTCTCTCTCTCTCTCTCTCTGTATGTGTGTGTGTGTCTATCATGAATAAATAAATAAATCTTAAAAAAAAAAAAGAAAAGAAAGAAGGAGAAAGTACAGGAAAGTAACTCCACCTAAATTCCTGCCGCAAGGACTTTATGGCTGCTGGAGAGCTGGGGTCAGTGAGGCCAG